ATTGGTCCTCCTATTTTGGATTGTGGTTTCTTGTTTTTCCAGAGCCTCTAATGCCTCATTTGTTTTATCTTTATTGTTTTAGATTGTTTGGTTGTTTTTTTTTTTTAAGCTCCTCCTGGTTTTTGCTTGCAGTGTCCTGTAATTCTTCAACTTTGTTTTTTACCCATTGAAAATATTCAATCATTGTTCTTTTAAATTCTGTGTCAGAAAGTTTCATCAGACTTTCTGGATTCAGGAAATCCATTGATACTGTGGCACTTTTTTTGGGTGATATCTTGCTTTGGGCTTGCATAGGGAGTAAAGTAGCCTGCTTCCTATGTGACATTGCTGTGGTAGAGTTTTTCACGTCTGAGGGGATAGGAGGTTCTTGATCTGAAGTCACTGTTCCAGAAAAGGGTGGGACAGCTACCCTGCGTGGGTTTCTCTCAGTTCAATAAAGAAAAAGCCTGTGGAAGCAGCCTCCTCTGTCAGACAACCACCACAGCTAGAGTCACCCAAGGTGTTAAGGGCTGTTGAAGGACTCAATGTGAGGTGATGTAAGGCGGAGTGCGGAGACCTAATTGGAAAACCAGGAAGCTTTGGTTTTCTCTTCAAGAATGAGCTCCAGCTGTCTCACTCCCCTCTGATTGAGCTTAAGGAGTCCCACATGATCCAGCCAAACAGCAGTAACACCCTCCCCCCCAGAGTATCTCACTCAAGTTCCAGTATTACTACCAATGTGCATTGGGAGTGGCATTCTGGGCATGGGCTGGCTATGATGGGACTGGATTTCTGAGCCCACACTCACTCAGATTTCAGCTTTCCTGCTTGCCCCTGGGTGTCACTCCCTGGTCAGCACCTCCCCATCACGTGCCTGACATCAGCAAGCTGTTCCCTGGCACGTGCCTGGCATCAGCAGGCAGCTCCCCAGTGTGTGTGTGTGTGTGTGGTGTTAGCTGGCAACTCCTCCATAACTTACCTCTTAAAATAGCGTCCTTGCTCTTTAGCCCTTTAAAGAAATCCTTGACAGATTCTTCCCAGTTTAACATGTTTTGATTTCTTGGCTGCTGCTACCATGGGTATTAATTGTGAATCCAAGTAAAATTAGATCCTCAATTACATCAAACTTTCCCATCTATCATGATATTGCCTATTGGTCCAGTGGTGAGGATTTCTGTTTTCTGGAAGGTTGTTGTCTGTGATTTTCTCCAATAAGTGCTTTAAGTCTTCTTTATTTCCTAAAAATAAGGATAAATGTTCCTCTAATTTTTGTACTACTTTGTTTTTATATAGTCTAGATTCTTGAATGGTTTACTTAGTTTAAAAATTGAATATATACAGGGAAAGGATAGAATTTGTTTTTTGTGTACTGCAATAAAGAAGGTATAATCATTTTCATTTCTGTCACTAAAGCCATATTTTCTAGCTACAAGTCCTTCTTTGTTTCTAAATTTTACATTCAGTCACCAATTACTTTTAATGCATCTTGATAGCAGAGCTTGGCAGAAACTCTCAGTTTTTTCACCTTTAGCTTTATTGGTTGGTGTATGTATTTAAATAATTATAATATTAAGACATATCTTTCATATGTATGTATATTACTTTATCAGTGATAGCATTGTACTTCAGGACAGATGTTTAAACGTTCTTTTTGAAAATTAATTTGGCATTATTCCTCTTCAATTTGTCATTTTGGTAAATGTGTTCCTGTGGCCATGTTGTTGTTACTATGTGCTGTCTAGTCGACTATGACTTATAATAACCCTGTGAACAATAGCTCTGAACTCTGCCCTATTTTGAACCAATCTCACAGTCTCTGACACACTTGACTCCATTACCACAGTCATTGTGTCAATCTATTTCATCGAGGATCTTCCTCTCCTATACTGACCCTCCACTCTTCTAAGAATAGTCTTTCTCCAAGGATTGGTCCCTCCTGGCAACATGCTAGAATGTGAGATGGAGTTTATGAAATGGAGTTTCAAAATCTTTGGCTCCAAGGAGCAACTTGGTTTCACTCTCTCCCAGACAGACCTATTTGTTCTCTTGGAAGGTCATGGTATGTTCAATATTCTTCTCCAGCACCACCTGTGGCCTTAGAAAATGCTAATTCTAGCATGTTGTCAAACATCTTCTCCCAAATCCCACACAGACAGAAAGCCTTCCTCCTAGTACTGGCACCTTGAATTCAGATTTCTCATCTACTAAAGGGAGCTCTGTTTTTTTTAATGGTAAGGAATTGAGCTGCCAACTCAAAGGTACACATTTCTAATCCACCAGCTTAACCTTGGGAGAAAAAACAGCAATCTTATCTTGTGCATTTTTCTGTTTCTGAAATTCCATTGGAGGGTCAGCTGTGAGTCAGTTCTGACTCAATAGTATAAAAAACAACATCCTACTAAATGGTGAGAAAATAAATTTCTGTTTGTTAAGGTCATTCACTTGTGGTATTTCTGTGATGGTACCATAAGGTAATTAAGATACCCCAAAGAAATCATGGTCAGCAAGATAATTCTGACACACAGAGATTCTTAAGTTTCTGATACTATAAGTCACTATGGGAAAAGATGGCCCAACTGTCTCCCACAGAGCTGCTGATGGATTGGAACTGCCTGAGATAGGCAACCTTTGGGTTAATAGTGCAACTCACTAAAGGCTAAGATTAGAAGACAATCAGAAAATGTCAAATAAACTACAGGCTTTAAACAATGGCCGCTTACTCCAATCCAGCCCTGCAATTTAGCTTGTTCCTTATTTTCAAGTGATTATTTTTATGGTCTTGGTTTGTAATTGTTGTTGTTGTTAAGTTATGAGTTGCAGGCCACTCATAGTGACCCTATGAAGGAGAGTCCTCAACGCTTGGGTGCCTTTCATCCTCTCTCCAGGTTCATTGGGTTTCCGGAGGCAAGCTATTAGAGAAGTGGATGCCATTCTTTCTTCCAAGCTTGTTTTAATCGGGGAACTCCACCCCACTCTCTGTCCGCATTGGTTAGCCAACCATTAACACATTTGACACACCAGTGTCACAGTGTTCAGCCTCACAGCAACCCAAAAGTGACCGCCGCATGGCAACTTGTACACCAGGGCTAAATGACCTAGAGGAATGTCTGAACAAAAACAATGAAAGACAGGCCTGAGGGACGCTGATGAAAAGTCACCCACCTTTGGCTTGGTAGCATCGCTTTCTGTCCACTGGGCCAGCTGATCTCTCTCTCTCTCTCTCTCTCTCTCTCTCTCTCTCGATATTATTGTTGTTAAGTGCCGTTGAGTCGCAGGCGACTCATAGAGACCCTATGACTTATAATTAGTTGTATTTATTATATTTTTAAAGTGAACTGGAGAATAAAGCAAGTGATGAAGAGTAGGGTAAAGAAACTTTAATAGAAGTGTCATTTTTTTAAGATTATTTCAGAGTGATTAAAAGATATGCTGCAAACCCAAAGGCAAATGGTTCAAATCCACCAGTTGCTCCTCAGGAGAAGATGGGCAATTTCCTCCAGTGAGATTAACTGACTCTGAGAACACACTGGAGAGTCACGATGGGACAGTTCCAACTTGATGGCAACATGAGTCAATATTAAGGTCTGAGACGCCAAGTGTGGTTTGACAGAGGATGGTGGCTTCCATAATTTCCTGTAGCTCTTTGTACTTCCTTCCGGAAATCTCTGGGATTCATTTGGTAATGAATATAGTTCAATGCTTAACAGCTAACTAAACACTGGGCAGTTTGAGTCTAATCTAAGTACCTTGCAAACAAAGGTTTGGTGATCCATCTCCAAAGGCTTTGAGAACCATCAGGAGCACATTTCTGCAATGAGGTTGCCAAAAGTTGGAGTCAATGGTGCCTGGTTTGGTTTGGGTTTGGCAGTGAAGAGGGGCTATATCTTTCTGCCCATCATCTTTTGCTCCTCTTAGTGAACTCTTTGGGAGCACTCGTGGACTAGTCTGTAGGGAGTTACACTACTAACCAAAAGGTCACACCTCACTGGCAGTTCAAATCAATCAGAGATTCTTCAAAAGAAAGAAGGATCCTGTGTGATTTACAGCTTAGGAAATTTAATAGAGGGTCACCTATGTAGTCGGCTCTGTCTCAATATGAAGGAGGTTGTTTTTTTTTTTTGTTTTGTTTTGTTTTTAGTGTATTCTCTGTCTCCCTTTTGCTTTTGAACCTTAAAAAAAATTATGGGGTAAAGGGGACAGAAGAAAAAAAGATCAAAACAGCAGGACTGCTGGGGAAATCCATAATTTTTTTTCAACGAAGTGCTTTAATCAAACCTAAACTTTGTTTTTAACAACTTAATTTCAGTACAGTTTTTGCAGCTAGAGAAAAGGAACTATGGCTTCTGCTTCAAATTTGACTAAGACTAAAAATAGATCATCAAGGTTAAGCATGGAAGAAGTGGCCCAGCTTCTTCCTCCCTGTCCATTTTGCCTGAGCTTGAATGAGAAGGAGGTGGCTCACACAATCAGTGAGAACAGCAACTGGCTGGATGTCTGTGTGCTCTGAGCCAATTATGGTATTTTTGTGGGAAAGTTTCCAATTCTTCAGTCTCAGTGTTAAGAGAGGTGGGAGGCAGCTTGTGTGAATGTCTGTCTGCAGGGTACATGCACATTGACTTGGATCCAATATGGCACAACAGCAGCGTGTTATTCAAGAAAATAATGACCTCCATTTTCTTGTACTCAAACCTAATGCTTATTTCTCCTTGCTGCTTTTAAAAAAATTGCACACACACACACATTCAAGGGAGAAAAAGGCAAAAGTCAAGGTCACTAGAATGTTTTGAGATCTGTCAACCCTCTTTCCTGAGGCATATCAGAAGTGAAATTAAGCTAAGTTTAAATAGGTGACACAAATCTCAATACTTTTTTTCACAACTGCACTGTCTTTCACATAATTATCATCATCATCATCATCATCATCATTTCCCCGTTTTCTCTTATCCAAGTGGCCACTGAATCCACTTGCCCCAAAGCATCTGCTCATTCATTTATTAATCTTTCTGTCATGCAAGGCATTGAAAATACAATGATGAATAAGACAGATATAGTTTTTACCATCATTCAGCTTGTAGTCTAGCAAGAACCCAGACAAATAAAAATGTGACTTCAGTGATGAGTGTTCTAGTTATTCTGGTGGAAAATGTACAGAGAGCACCCAGGGATAAACCTAGATTTGAACTGTCAGGGGAGACTTCTTAGAGTACTGATGGTTTAGCTGAGACTTTAAGATTCAGGAAAACATAGTGCTTTCAACAGCTTTCATTCAACAATATTTATCGAACAGTTAGGATTTATGCTAGATTCTTCAGAGTCAGGTAGAAAGAGAGACACCAAGCCTGTTTTCATTCTTAGAGGAGGCCAGAATGAGGCAGAAAATAGACATTTAAAAAATATATAGGCACACACAAATAGGTAGATAATATACCTATCAATGTGGCCCTTTAAAGGCCACTTTCCCCTGCTATATATTGGGAGATTAAAAGGATCACGTCTTTCCTACTAAATGGTTTAACAGGGTATCCAAGGCTCCTTCTTGCTGCGCCAAGCTCTGCTCTGGACTTTGGGACTAGTGGTTGCCCAGAATTAATGGGTTGTCTTCTCATTAACTTATTTTATAAGAGACACAAACGCAGGTTATATACCTGGATTTCACCTGATGGTATGCACAGGAATCAGATCGATTACATCTGTGGAAGGAACCGCTGGAGAAGCTCA